GAGCACCAACCATTTTGCACCACAAACCCCATCAGCCCTAACCAGCAAATGGCAGAGCTACAGCCCACAACTACCCAGAGGACACCATGTTGGGGACGTCTGCAGTAAATATTGGTGCTAGAGTTGCCACTGAATGTTACCTAAAGTAGAATTTCAAGGTAAATCTGGAAATACCTTTTTGGCAAGACATTTGAGGGACACTGGTAAACAATTATTTAGTAAGGCTTTGGTGCATCTTTAGATTACCATTGGATCCAGCCTGATGCAAAATTCAAGGCAAATGCAGATATCTCTGCTGAAGAAAACATGGGAGAATTTTGAAGGAAATGTAACACATTTTTTATAAGGGCAGCAAAATTTCTCAGGGGACAGAAGGAGTCCATTCATCCTTGATATGTCAGATCAGCAGTGACTAATTCTTCTGAGGTCTGTTGTTGATTCTGTACTTTTTAAAAGCTATTTTTAGTTGTTTTTATGTGAATTGCCTCAAGACTCCTGTGGAAGGCAATTAAATAAATTAAACAAATTAATAATGCTTTGGCTTCACCCACTGTAGCAGAGGAAAACTACAAGTGCAATACTTTACATTTCTCCCTGTTAAAATTCATCTTGTTTGTTTTTGCCCAGTTCTCTAATCTGTCAAGGTCGTTTTGAAGTGTGATCCTGTCCTCTGGGGTGTTAGCCACCCCTCCCAGTTTGGTGTCATCTGCAAATTTGATCAGGGTGCCCTTGAGTCCATCATCCAAGTCGTTGATAAAGATGTTGAATAAGACCGGGCCCAAGACAGAACCCTGTGACATGGGCAGGGAGGGGGTTAACAGTGATTTTAGGAAGTCATTAGCTTGCACCAGGCATCCTATTGGGATGACCCAGTTTTCTGAGTGTATTTTCTGAAAGCTGGGCAATAGGGGCAGTACAGGATTCCTTTTGGTGCACCAACCTCCCCGCTGCACCAAGGATTCCCTGCCCAAGCTGCTTCAGGTGTGGCGAATGTTCTCCTGGAGACACCTAGTTTGGTTGTCCTAGAGGATTTTAACATCCACGCCGACATGACCTTACAAGGGGCCGCTCGGGACTTCGTGGAAAGCATGGCCTCCATGGGGCTGTCCCTAAATAAGTTTGGCCCAACTGACAGACATGCCTTAGACCTGGTGTTCATCTCTATGAATGTGGGTGATCTGACACTAAGTAAAAGCAAAACAAAAGAAGTGCCATGGTCAGATCACTTCCTGGTGCAACTGGACATCTCTGCGACCCTTTCCCTCTGCAGGGAGGTGGGACCAATTCAGATGGTCTGCCCCCTGGGCAGCCCCATGGTTTTCCCCATAGTTGAGGATGATGAAATAATTGCTGAGACAGCCAGAGCACTGTTGACAGAAAACTCATTCTGAATTGGACCGGACATGGGTTAGAGCTCAACGTTGAGCCTACCAAGTGGTGACAGCAATGGTGAAGAGGACCTTCTTCACCGCCTCTATTGCATCTGTAAATTAAAAATACAACTTTTGAACAAAGTAGTTATTATTTCTCATCTTAATTTGAACCTTCTCCCCCTGGAATTGTTTGTGAATTTAGCTTTCCAAGTCAACACTATTTGGAGTGTATGAGAACTCATCTTCCTCCAGGGAAAAGCAACTGAAAGTTTATCGTTTGAAAACTATCTCTCTTGCCAAGTTTTTAAGAAAATGTGTAAAAACAATTTAGGATGGATATTGTTCAGTGAAGGGACTGATTCAATGCCAATTGAATAAGGAATTTTGCATGTCGGTTTGTTCTTGTTTTTTTGTTAAGTATTCTGTGCTCTCATTTTCTTCTTTCTTTCTTTCTTTCTTTCTTTCTTTCTTTCTTTCTTTCTTTCTTTCTCTCTCTCCTGTAATCCACCCTGTGGTCTTCAGATGAAGGATGGTATATCCAGCCATTGCGTGGAGTGTAGCCAGCCAGCAGGGACGTTGTTGAACAACATGGGTCCTCAAGCTGAATTCTGGTATCTCCCCATAGGACCAAGGGAGACCTCTCCCTGAAATACTGGAGAGCTGCTATGAGTCAATGTACACAGCACTGGCCTAAATGTCTGTCTCAGCAGACGGCAGCTCCATAGGTCCCTTCCTAGGCATGGGGCCCAAAGTCAATGGTAGCACATCTGCCTTGCATGCAGAAGATCCCAAGTTTCAGCCTCTTCTCTCTTAGCCTGAGACCCTAGATAGCCACTGCCAGTCAGAGAAGGAAATATTGGGTTTGATAGGCCAATGGTGTAAAACAGCTTTCTTTGTTGGTAATATTATGGTGAACTGCACAGACTAATGGTCCAGCCAGTGATAAACCAGCTTCCTGTGCCCCTTCTTAGTCATGTATTAAGGCCATTTGGGTGTATATTGCCAGCAGCAACAGCAGCAAGAGGGGTGGAAAATAATAATAATAATAATAATAATAATAATAATACTGCCACAAGCTGGCTGATATGCCCACAAGGTTTGGCTGGATGGTTATATAAAAATAAAATTACATAACCCCACAAGGCTGCACCACTCAAGCTGCTGCTTCTTATTGTTCGTGGTTAGCACTTGGAAATAATAATAGTAATAAATCCTAAAGTCAGAAGCCTTGCTGATATGGTCTCTCTTTTTTTAGGATGGCTAATAAATACTAGTACTAATAGTAATCATTTTAAGCAACGAGAACAGAATGAAATTGTTGTATTGTATAACTAGGCTGTTGTATAGCTTGCTGGTTTGTGGCTGCCGAGCAATTGGGCTATGTGCAATGTACTCACAAAGCACGCACACAAGACAAAGTACGAAAAAAGACAGACACAGAAAACTGAACACAGCTGTAAATATACCTTGCCAAAAACTAGAGCCAAAACTGGAGGATTGGAATACTAAGTTACAGGGAATAAACATTTTATTTCAAAAAAATGGAAAGACTTGGATTGATTGGGAAATGATAGGAAGCAAACACAAGCAGAACAAATGCCACCAACCCCATCAAACACTTCCTATGAGACAGAACTTACAAAAGAGTTCTCCGTTTTAAGACTTCGCCACTTCCCCCAACCCATGCACTACAAATGAGAGTGTTGTGTGGGGTGAGATTGTTCTAGCTCCAACTCTCCCTTGCCTCATCCTGGTGTTCTTCTTATACAGTGTTGCAATTAAAAAATGTATCAAATTAAAAATTGGCACAAATTGTTACATATTGATTCAGAATAACCCAACTTGCTCTGAGGGGATTTATAACTGCTTCAGCCCAATCTGGACGGGGCACAAATTGACCCAATCACGTGCACAGCATCCTGAGTACAAACAATAATAAAGTCTCCTTGTGTATAGCTGTATTACTTATTATTATTTATTCACCCACAACGAATTCTGGAGTGTTCACTTGATCCAATCAGTTGGCCTCTATCTTTGACCTATAATATTTTATCCAACTTCAACCAACCAAGAAAACAAATTGCATTCAATAAATCTGTGCAGGATCAAAGCTTTTGCTGACTAACCCAATGGTTTTCACTGAGGTGCTCACCACTGTAAGTAAAGCAACCCTCTGAAAGACAGTTCTTCTGCTTTAGAAAGGTGTGGCTGAATTGTTGGCAGATATTTTTTATCATTCACAATGTAAAAAGCTGAGCTTTCAGTCTTATCAGGTGCTGAAGGGCCTGAAAGCAAAGGCTGGGGAACATGAGGAGGATCCCTGACTCAGAAGAGTAGAATGAATTACTGGAAGAGCAGAGTGAACAAAAGGAGATAGAAGGAACTCAGTCTGGGACTCAATGGAAGACAAAAGACCTAAAGAGAGAAAAATAAGGGAGGAGAGAGAGAATGAAGGATACGGGGGCTATTGCCAGTAATATTCTCACCTGAAAAGAAGCCCTTAGGAAGTTACCTTGAACTTCAGACTCAGGTTATCTGTCGAAAATGAAGACTGTTAGTCTATTACCTATAAGGTAGTTTTTGTTTGTGTGGAGTCTTGATTTAAAGCTCTTTGGCCTTGGAACTGTTTAGATATATGGGCTCCATATATTAGCTTCTGCATTGCACTTGAAAAGCAAAGTTATATTGTGTTCTTTCCCTCTAAAATCAATGTTTTCCTTTATCATGGAAAAAAATAGAAGTACTTTGAAGACACAAGGTTAGACAATTATACTAAAGCATTCCCACAAGCCTAGCAGTAAAGAAACAATACTTTTCCCCTAGTTTGCTCTTCATACCCCCACTCAGAGAATGCCATTCATCTTTACACAATTTACTAGAAAATCTCTTTAAAGATTTACTAGGAAATCGCTTTGAAATTGCTTTGGGAATGTCTCTACCCCTCCTGATGACAGTGAGGATCACATCCATGGGCTGGGCTTCTCTCGCCCAGTTTGTTCTAATCCTATTCTAACCGTCCCATTTCTTACATAGCAAGAACCAGTTTCCAACTGATTGACTGCTGTGATGTGTCAGAAGCCTCCTGAGAAACAGAGGGAGGAAGGCTTTGCATCAAGAGACCAAGCTGCCTCTCCTGAGTTAGATCTCCATGCTGCAGTTCAGTATTTTTAGATTCTGGTCTTAATAATCTTATGAGAAGCCTCTTTCAATGGCCATGTGAATTAACTTTGAAATGTGGTAAGTACCCTGGTGTGCTCAGGAGCCCCTCTGCCCATTGTGCTCTGCGACACTGCAGACGTCCACCCTGAAAAATTACTATGTCCATCTTCGGACTGCTAGAATCATCTTTGAGATGCTGGTGCTGTGAATGCTGGGCCAGCCAACAATTAAATGAGGGAGAGAAACTGCTTTTTCATGGCCTAGGCCTTACTCTCAAGTCCAAGCTTCTTAAATTTGAAACCTGAAGTTTCAAGTTAGGCACCAGCCTGCCACAGGATACAAAGATCCTGACACCAGGATCATATAATGAAGCTGACGGTGGGACATTTGGGGACAGACTAGAAGAGGTATTGCTTCACACGATTTTTATTGCGTTTTTGTTTATTAATATGGTATTTTGGTGTTTTTATATTGTAAACTGCCCTGTGATCTTCCGATGAAGGGCAGTATAGAAATTTAATAAAGAATAAAAGAATACTACACATAGTAATGCATGTCCTTGTTTTTCAGCTTCCCAGTGGCATCTGTCTGGCTACTGTGAATACAGGATGCTGCACTAGATGGACCTTTGGTCTGATCCAGGACTCTCTTATGTTCAGTTCAGTGAGCTGTTTCGGGAAAGGGACCTCCAGTTTTGTTTTTTCTCCCCAAAAGATTTTGCCCTCAAACTGCTGGGCTCCTCCAGGCCTGCTGTTGTCTGCCTATTTTGCATGGATAGTGTTGCTTTAAATACATACGTTTCTATGCTTAGAGGATGCACTTAGGTTAGAAGATTGTTTCTTGCTTCTTTCCAAATAAATCTGGTAGTGGCTTTCCGTGGCTTGTATCAGCCACAGAGGGGGGGCCTTGCTGTGTATTTTCAGCACAACTTCAGGAGAAGTCACAAAGCTATCTCCAAGCTGCCATCCGTGTGCTTGAAGTCCTGATTCACTCATAAACCCAGCAAGCTGCCGGCACTGAGCAATCAGAGAAGAGGAGTAAGTCCTCAACACTGACTAGATCTCCAAGGGAAGAGTGATGCTCCACAGGCAGCATCATAAGCCTACTGGGGGAACCAGAAAACCATGTCTAAAGACATCAAAACACAACACCGCAGGTTACATCCTTCCTAGGGATTGTGGTATTGACCCATCTCCGAATGGCTAGGAGAATCCAGTGGAGAACAGGCACCCTATGGAGAGCAGAGCATAAAGCATGCCAAAGTTCTTGTAATTATCTTTTGGATTGCTGAAGCACATAGAATAGTTTTCAGTGAGCTACTTTAAAAATGACTTGCTAGTTGACAGCAGGTAGCTCAGGGCACCACTATTGAAGGAGCTATTGAAGGAGCTGTCGTGAATGCTTTGTCTTACAAAATATAACCCATGAAATAGACTATACGGGGGGGGGGTCTTTAGGAGCCAACACTTCTAGGATGCCTAGAAACCACAGAGCCAATTGTGTCACGATTTGGGTATCACTGCAGGTATCATATGGGTGGCTGCTGAGTTTCACCCATTTGGTCTATCAAGCTGCAAAGAATGGCGGGGCATGTTCCTCTTGCCTCTTTTAAGAAAACCTTCTGATTCTTACCTAGGAAAACCAAAGGACAGAGTTTGCAGATGTACACCAACTCAGGTAGGAGATGGCGGGGCTGATGTCATCACGATGTCATGACTTTGCATGTGAAGTCATGACATCACATGCAGGCGTCATGTGGCAGCCCAGTTTCCATGGCCAGCAATGCTGACAGCTCTTCCTCCTGCTGTTGCTGCAATGGGCAGAGGGCTGCTTCCCCTCCATGGCAGCAGGAGGAGGAGGAGGTGGAGCTGCCATGAGCCACCACGAGCCATTGTGGCCGCATTTCCAGAAGCCACCAATGTACTTCTAGAAGCGCACTTCTGGTGCCAGCTTCTAGAAGTACATTGGCGTCGGTGGCCTAGCAGGCCTGCTTGCAGCAGGCATCCTAACGGCGGCAGCCTAGCATGCCTTGTGGTGGTAGCCTGGAGGCCTTATGCCAGTGGTGTGGCAGTCCTTGTGTTGGCAGTCTGGAGGTCTCATGCCAGTGGTGACTTGGCATGCCTTGCAGCAGCGGCATCAACAACTGCCCATCAACTTTGGTGGGGCTCAGCCCCATCAACTACATGGGGGGCTGAAGTCACTTCAGCCCCTTGGATTTGGTGTCCATGGTGATAGAGGAACAATATAAATTTGTTACTGCCTTTAAGGAGCAACTAAAAGTCCTGCTCCTTAAGGAAGGTGGTGAAAAGAGAGGGAATTCCTTCTTGTTATTTCCTCCTCCTTAAGGATCTCTCTCACTCAATCTCCCCAAACTTCCCCAATCTAGGCAAGGATCATCATTTATGGAGGGCAGGGGGCAGTCCCCTTCTACATTTATAGGGAGCAGACTTGTTACAACATCTCCTCTGGCTACTGGTCTTTTTCTGGACACAATTGAAAGTGTTGGTTGTGACCTATAACACCCTACATAGCTGAAGCTCAGGGTATCTGTAAGCTGCTCCCTCCTTGTTCTTCCACTAGCAGGTAAAAACCTTTTTGTCCCAACAGGTCTTTGGGAACTAATTGCTTTTAATGAAAGGGCTGGTGCCACACATCTTTTTGTAGTAATCATTTGTATGGTTTTAAAAATATGTTTATGCACATTTTAGTGGCTCTCATTTTATCTGTAAACCGCCATGAGTACCTGTTAGGTAAAAGGTGGGGTATAAATTAACAACAACAACATCAACAAATCTGTGAACTGCCCTGAGACCTCCAGGTATAGAGTGGTATATAAATTCAATAAACAAATGAACAAATAAATAATACATTTCAGAGAACATGTGATTACTCCTTAGTAACAACTATATCTATGGCCAGCTGTCTGTTACTACACAGAGTGGCTCTAGTTATGTACAAATCAGTGGCAGACCTACATTTTGTGGGCCCTGAAGCTTGAATTGTCACAATCAACATCAAGGTCTAGGTAACCCCTGTTATCTTCTTCAATGTGCTACTGACTCTCAAACTCTGGGAATGTTGAAATAGATACAAGAACAACAAACTCAAATTGGGTCTACTATACCCAAAACTTTTAAGCAATGTCAATTAAAGTTGCTTCTGGGGCCCCTCTAGGTTTAGGGGCCCTGAGGCTTAAGCTTCATTAGTTTCCTAGTAGATCTGCCCCTTAAAGAGGCCTATGTCAAAGGCATGCATGCAAAGTCTTGCATTGCTTTAACTGCCAAAGAGGGGATCGCTCTTCTTGTGCTGATACTGCTATAGCTTTTGGGAGGTTTTATATATAGAAAAAATAAACTTAGTGAGTGCTCTTAAAAATTGCAGTGCTTTATCCTTTCATCTTTGCATACAGTACCTAAGAGTGGGTCTTTGACTTTGCTTTTCCCCTATCAAACCTCTTTCCCCACTCTTGATCTAAAATAGTAGCCCTGCCTGAACCCAAGCTGTCTTCCCTTGCGTGCTTTGAAATTTCAGCAAGTTGGCACATGACTTGCCCCTTTGCCACTGTGCCACCTGCCCATCTGCTTGATGTACATCAACCAACTCCAGGTAGCAGCATATCAGAGGCCTTGCTTGGTCTGCACTGTTGGACAGATACAGACATGTTTAAAAGCTGGAGAACAACAGCTAACAGCTCCTGGCATCATGCAGTGGAGAGGCAAAGTATACTTTATATATGTCCTATACAGTGTTATTTTTCTAGAAAAAGAGGTGCTGGAACTCACCATGAATGCCTCCTTCTTTCTCTTAAAATGGCAATGACACCCACCTGAGAGATGCCAGAATTGAGTTCTGGTGAGTTCCCTTTGGAAAAAAGCCCCAATTCTATAAATGTACCTTAGCTTGACCTGACGTTGCCATCTGCTGTACAGCCACTATTTCCCCCTGTGTTCACTGCTTTCGTGCATCATCAGAAGGGCTCTGAAGTCCACACATTGCTCTTGCAGGTCACAGCATATAGAAGGAGCCCAGGCAAGTACATGCTGCAGAAAATCAGGTCATAACCTTTTGTCAACATAGCTCTTAATTAATTATCCTGAAAGGCTCCTTCCAACTCAGTCGCATGCTTAATAGTTGGCTAGGCCAAATTACGAGAACACACGTTTCCCAATTTATAGGAAGCTGGATTTATTGCAGAAAGCGTGACTGGCTGACTTTTCAGTCTGCCAATGCAATTGCCACAGCTGTTGCATCTCCTATTTCACAGGAAGCAGTAAAAGGAAAAGAGGGACTTGTGTCACATCAGTATTCACGGAATGATGCGTTCCTTTCTTAAACTTCCAGGTTGCCCACAGTGGAGAACAGAACAAACAACAAGTAATAGAATGTAAAGCTTTAGCACACAAGCACCTAGGCTGCACCCTGACACAGAAAGAGTCATGGGCTCACATTTCTTCCACAGTAAAACTTGCTATATTATTCTCTGCCTAACCATATCACACACAGAATGAGTTTTAAGGCAAAAGTCTTTTTCAGGCCTTACCATTCTGAGTGAAGGAAATGCATGAGAAAGGGGCAGCAGTGAGAAACTCACTCATTCTGCCCCCTTGATCTTCCTAGCAGAATCATCTCATAGATCCATGGATGCTCCTGGCATGTCTTAGAACAGTTTGTTTACTGGTGATGGGAACAGCAACAAGAGGGCAGAGCTCACATGCTCCTCCCACCTCTCCTCTCACATTATCTCTTGACAGAATATGCTAATGCCTGAAGAGGGCATTACAAGCCACCCCAATCTCTGCTAAGTGGGGCACAAGATTCCTGGGGTCTCGGCCCTCCACCAGGGTCTGTGTTCCTTTAGGAAAATAGGCATAATGGAGACTAGCACATACAGTATATGTTTATTTTATACATATATACGACCTTTAGTCTTCAGTGAAGGGGTGCACAACAAAATGACAACAATGCCCATTTACACCACAAATCACTCATAACCCACCTACTTTCAGCAGCCAGAAACACCATAACCAGACACTGGAGAGACCTGTCAGGAGTAAGCATGGACCAATGGTACCAAATAGTATGGGAAACAGCCTTACGAGAAAAATTAACCAATAAACGGAAACCGACACGGGGACAAATAGAAGAAGACACCTTTACCCCAGTATGGCTCCCCTTTATCACATACACAGCCCAACAAGACAATGACAACAATCCACCAACAGCATACAAATCAATATGGCTAACCTGATCCAAAACACCCACCCACCCCACTCACACACGAAAACAAAGATCACCACAGCCAATCACAAACAAACAACCACACCCTAGGCCAACCCCAACCTCTCTCACCACCAAAGGAACACAAGTGAACAGCAGAGAACCTGCACAAGCAACGCTGACACCAAACCCCATATACATTAAGCAATATAGAAATATCGCCACCTGACGCCACCCACCCATTTCCCCCCCTCCACCCCTTTTCTTCCTAATGTCTCAACAAATGAAACTGATTTGTAAAAATGTTACATGGAAAAAATACAAGAGAGAAACATTACACATACTTCTGTAAATAAAGAAAATCTTTAATAAAAAAGCAAAGAATTGCTCTTTGAAATGCTGCTCAGCCTTGTTTTGACTGTTGCTTATTTTTAAGACCCTGCATTTGTTTAGCAATGCAGGAAGTTGGTGACATTAAAAGCGTCTTTCAATTCAGTGTGGTTCAAATCAAGAACATTTTCTCTCTTTGGGGGGAAAACCCTTCAAGAGCATTTGAAATTTGGGGTGCTCCAGTTCTGAGAGTGCTGTTCTTTCTGTTTGTTACCTGCACATGGTTAGAAATTAGAAACTGTGACAGTTGCTCAAATCATTTGGGCAGGATTAGGACTTCCACTGCTGTTTTGGGATAGGACTTTAAAAGATATGCCAGGAAGCCTCCTATGTTAGATGGAGAAGCACTGACTTTTAGGACACACACTTCCAGATGTTGAGCTATAACCCATTTTATATGCGCACAGGAATCCTGTGTGTAGAAGAATTTATAATAATATTCATTATCCACTATGTGTGAACACAACGAATAAACCTCCCTCCCAGAATTTTATTATGGTGACACCTCTGCCTTCCTTGCAGGGGCGGCGTGGTGGGGGCCGTCCGCCCCGGGTGTCACCACTGAGGGGGGGTGACAATATGCCGGGTGGCACTCACCACGGGGCCTGCAGCGTGCCTGAGTCACGCGTCTCTCCTGGGAGTGACGCGTTGGCTTGGGCACCCGCAGGCTCCACGCTGCCCCAAACGGTCCGCCCGCCACCTCCCCCTTAGCTGTAGGGTGGCTGAGTGGGAGGAGGCAGGCAGACTCCTCAGATGCAACCTGCCCTGGCTCGCCCCACCCCGTGGGCGGCTGGCCCCACTCCTGGGCGCAGGGCAAGCGCGCCTCCCCAGGCACCCGATCGGCTTGCTCCGCCGCTGCTTCCTTGAAATACCCCTTCAAAATCCATCTTTGCTATTCATATTGCTTAACCTTTTCGTGTTTGCTCAGGAAACATGGAGCTAGTGAATTATAGAAAGAAAGGGGCAAATCTACATGTAATGACTTCTCATCACACATCATCTACATGAGAAGAGAATTGTGGGGAGAAGATGCAAGATTGCTGTGCTTGGTGATCCTTTGTCATGCATAGCTTGGACCTCAAGAGGGAATTTTCAATGTGACAAAATTTTATCCCCCTTTTTTACCTGCTCTGAGCCTTCAGGATGCAGTGGGCTATAGACTGAAAAATAAATCTGAATAAATTCCAGTGTGAGAAATGTAAACCACAGATAATTAGAAATCTAAGCATAAAAGTGGCACAAAGTCACATTTCATATTTATTTTCTTTCATTATTCCTTTCCAAACTAAGAATGAAAGAATTCCCACAGTGCTCAGGTGCCTCATAGTCTGGGCTAGGCTGTTTTATTTATTTTCCAGACTTAGTTGCAGCACAGCATTAGCATAGTCACATGTATCTCTCTCTCTCTTGCTATGATCTGAATGTATAATATGCTTGTAAACTAATATGGAAAGTCTTGTGTTGAAGAGAAAGATAAGACTGTAATATATTCTGGGTACTATGTAGGGAGGTGGAAAAAACAAAGCCACTTTAACCTAGATTGTAAAAGTTTGAACGTTTATTTATAAGGCAATCCATGCGCTAAAATGGGCTTGCAATAGGGTACTAAAATAGCTACCTTAAAAGCATTTCATCTTTCTATTTAAGGGTGCATGAAAATGTCTGTGTAGCTGCAGGAATCTGCTACCCAGTGCAAAGGAAACACACAGCTGAAGGAGCCAATTCACAATAACAAAGCATGCCATTTTTCTGACAACAAGGCAAGGACTCTGGCTAGATTTGAGAAACAATGGCATTTGAACAGCCACATTACCCTGAACTGTATATATTTGCATTTGGATAAAGAGTAAAAATGTGCTTTTTCCTTCAAATTATCTTGGGATCCTCTGTTTTTTTGGCCTGCACAACTTGCAACCCACCAAGCCAAATGCATTACTCTACCACCACGATCCATGTATGGCAGCCCATCTAACCAGAGCCTGGGGGAGGGGGAAGTGGGGGGGGGGGAATGGCCAAGTCCCTGGCCAACCACAAAACGTGGCTGATGGGATGCATTCAGTTTGGTGGAGTTTGGGTTACACAGGCCTGCCTTTGGGCTTATGCATTTCCATGGGCTCCCTGTTCGGATGTCATCTGAAAGACAGCGGCAGTAACTCTCTTTCAGTGGGACTTACGTGAGAGAAGTTTTGTCCTGGGTGCCGTATGCTTTTGTTTGTTACTATGTTATGTATTTTTGTTTTTTTTTATATTGTAAACCACCCTGTGGTCCTTGGATGAAGGGTGGGGTAGAAATTTCATTATAATAAAAAATAATAAAAATAATTGCCAGTGGTCGCGTGCTCTGTCTTCTTGAGTGTACCCACAATAATATTAGAGACGCACCTCTGATAATTCTCCATAGTTAAAATGGAAGTACTACATTGTGTTTTCCCATACGTTTTATTATGAACCAAATGGAGATGGAACTCAGTGTATCCCTATCCTACTTTTAAAAAACGTGAAAAAGGTCAGGCAACCAAAGATCGGCGTTGGCTGCCATGCAGACGATGATACAGAGATCATTGCACAGAAAAATGACAGGGTTTTACAGGTTTAGCACAGCTTTACATCAGAGATGTAGCGTGGGGGAGGGGCAGTGGCCCTGGGCGCACAATCTTGGGGGGCACGTGAAGCAGCGCAGGCACCTCCCACAGAGATCCTCGTCATGCCCTGCCGGGCTCTGGCAGCGAGGGCGGAGGATGCTCTTCCCCCTCCGCTCCCCACCCGCCGGGCGAGAGAGCGCCTACCCGGGGCGTCACCAGCGAGGGCTGGGCACGCAGACTGTCCCCTCCTGGCGCATGTGTGCCTGCACCCACCCCAGGCACTACGCCCCTGCTTTACACCAGCTGCATTTGGTACTTGTGGAGCCACAGCAGAGGCAGTCGTACAGTAGCCTCTCCATAGAGTGAACTCATTCTCCCAGTGTGGATGTGTGTGCAGCCAAAATGGCACCATTCACACAAAAGAAGGAGGTATTGGCAGACTCAAGGGATCCCCAATCTTTGCAGAAAATATTGGGGGGGCATAGGCCCCTCCAAAATTGATGGGCATAAATAAATAGCACCGGGACAGGCCTGCTGGCCGACACTCACTCGCATGCTTCCCAGCCTCCGTCGGCTCCCCCCCCGCCCCAAGCCCTTCAACAGAGCGGCGGCGAGCGGCACATGCACGCGAGAGGTCCAGGGGGCAACAGGCACAAGCCACTCTTCTCCCTATCCCACCCCTGCCGCTCCGTTGCAGGCCTGCGGGTGGGCAGTGAGCCAACGGAGGGGAAAGGGCTGTGCGCCTCAACTCCTCTCCCAGCGCAGCTCTGCTGCCGGGCAGGGCAAGGGCTCAAGGCAGGGCAGGGCAGCTGGTGCA